AAACATATTTTAAAAGCCAGAATGAAGCTAAATGTAAATCTGTTACAAACAGTGCCTCATCTAGTTCACCGAAAGCCTCCAAAAACACAGTTTACACAAATATCAAAATAAAGACAATAACCAAGAGAAGCTCAAAGTCAGCACTGAAGAAAGACAAAACATATCAAATTTGGGGGCCATTCTTGTATTTGGGCACAATTTCCAGCACACCCACTGGGTGCCAGCCACCAGATAGCCACGAGCACCCTGCCTTCCCAGTGGGGACAGCAGCCACAAGCGCCCCATCCTCCCCTGGGGGGAAAGCCATGAGCACCCCGTCCTCCCCCATGGGGACAGCCATGAGCACCCCATCCTCCTCCGTGGGGACAACAGCCACAAACAGCCCATTCTCCCCCGTGGGGACAGCCATGAGTACCCCATCCTCCCCAAGGGGACAGCAGCCATGAGCACCCTGTCCTCCCCAGGGGTACAGCAGGCATGAGACAGCCACAGGCTTGGTTGGGGTGGGGCCTGAGCAAGTCCTTGGACTCCGTGTCTTCATCCAGGACACGTCCTCACGGGAGGCTTTGAGGATGACACAGGTAACAGCCACAGCATTCCACAGGTACTCAGCAAAGCGTGGCTCCCAGCTACTGCACTCACAAAGCTCTACCTACAGAGACTCTCGCATGGAGCTAGAGGCTACTCAGTGCTGTGGTTCGAACGTGCCCCCAAATTCATGTGCTGCAACCTGACCCCCAATGTAGTAGTATTAACAGGTGGGGCCTTTGGGAGGTGACTAGGTCATGGGGTGGAGCCCCCCAAATGGGATTACTGCCCTTACAAAGGAGGCTCAAGGGAGCTGTGGCCCCTCCCACCAAGATGCAGCATCTTCGAAGGACAGAGCCCTCAGGAGACACTGAATCCGCTGGCACCCTGATGTTGGACTTCCCAGCCTCCAGCATTGTGAGCAATGGGTTTCTGTTATTTATAGTTCCCCAGTCTAAGGTATTTGGCCAGAGCAGCCCAAACAGATTGAGGCACTCAGCATTCAGGGCCTTCATGCACATCATCCCACTTTCCAGATTTTAAATGAGTGGTCTATGGGAACAGAGCGCGGCGTGGAAAGGAGTCCAAATGTTCCAACTACACTGGGGGCTGAACAAGTTAACTCGACCTTTCTGGGTCTCTATGTTCTGTACTGTCAAAGTCCTCACAAAGCCAAAATGTTTATGTGACAGAATGTGAGAATGGGCAGTCCCCGTTCAGACGCAGCCTTCTCTCACCTGGGAACAGAGGACGCTCCTGTCCTCAGAGCTCCCACGGCTCCTGCACGACACTTTACGTGCTCCTAACGGCCAACTCTGCACGGGCGTCTCTCAGTCCCACCTGCCACCTTCTGTTCTGTGATCTCTTTGAAAGCTGAGACTGTATCTAATTCAGCGTCTGATCCTCTACTGCAGGTAGAAAAGTTCTTATGCATTTATCCTCAACAGTCACAGGAACAAAAAAAATTGTGTGAGATTAGTTTCATGTGGACATTAAGAGTTTTCTAAAGCAATATCCACCAGCCTTCACACATTTATATTTAAAAAGAATAATAACTATCATTTAATGAACTTAGCACATGCTAAGAGATTTCATGTGTTTAATCCTTTTAATAGAGAAAAGTATTGTGTGCAAAAGGTTAAAAACTTTTCTATTATGAAATGGGAACAGAGAGGGGAAAAAAACAAGAAAATTACAAGATGTCACACAAAATAGCATTGTATCATTTTCCAAAATGAAATAACCTCTCCTGAAAATATAAGAAAAATTGGTTAGTTAAGTTTTTAAAAAATTGTCTTTATCATTATTTTAAA